GCTGCTGCTCCTCAAGCAGTTGAGCCAGAGCCGGTCTACATTGAATCGTACTACAATGCTAGCGACTTGCACAACTGGAACATCTACTGAAGCGTGTGAACCACACGAGCCTCCTTCTAAGCTCTTATTTTTCTGCTCCTTTCCCTTCTTTTTCCCTCGCCCCGCTTGCTGCCAGCTGTACCTCGTTTAACCAAATTTGGTCTTCCCTGTCTTTTTTTTTTCAGTTTTTGCCAGGCTACTGCTGCTGCTGCTCCCCTCAGTTCCAAACGTATTTTTTATTTTGATATGTGCATGTTAAGCAGAAAATTGGTGCTTTTTTCGTTTTGTCGACGAACAAATAAAGAAATTTTTTTTTTATTGTGTACAGTTTTTACATCGCGCGACGTGCTAACAAACCGCTATTGGTTTACTTTTAAGGGACTCTCAGAAGAGAGAGCTGCTGAACCTCCTGGGTAATCTAAACAAAAAACAAACAAACATAGATGCGTACATACTTACAAACATATATATATGCACATACACATTGAGTTTGGACAATGTGTATTTTGCACCATTGTTGCAGTGCGGAGCGCATAAAAAGCAAATATTTAAAATAGATTTCCAACACTGTCCAGTGGTCAGTAGTTCCTGAACAACACATGCCCAGTTCATGCGTTGTCCTGAAACCATAAGTATTTCTTATTTCGAGAAATTTTCGGCTAATTTAACATGGATGTGCCAAAAAATGAAACGCTTCACACATCGGCGAGTAGCTGAAAAGAGGAGCTCAAAACAGTGGTGAACTGAACTTTTACTGAAGCGCGTGAGAACTGGTTGGGTTTTAAAAGATTATCATATGCATCCACTAGCTTTCCAACTTCCAAACTAGGGATAAATTCAGAAAAAACTGGTTCATAATAGTTGACGGCCTTTCTAGTTGCTTTGGCCATTACTGCACCGCCTGGTGGTCAGTGTGCTAGAGATCTTAATGCCCTTTTCGTCTCCTGAAGAGATTACCAAGTCAGCCGTTTTTCTGACATATTTAACAAAGCTTTGTTCATTTCGAGATGTTGCTGCTGTATATTGTAAAATGCCGATTATTTGGATTTTCTTCGTAATATCGTTAAAAGCCCAACAATTTCCTCTGAGAGAGGAAAAATATCTGCTATCATCTGGAGTTCCCTCACTTCCATTCTCCTCATTTTCGAGTTACGTCAGTAGTTATAGGTATTTACGATATGAGGACGTAATAACGGATGGGGCGAATAACAAGCAGATAGGTGGACAGACAGAGTTAGCAACAATCCAAGAACCAGTTTTTATTGCCTCTCTTGGCAGAATGAGAGCGGGCGACGGAGGATGACAGTCCTACGAGAACTCAACACTCCGCACTCTTTACATTAACTTGCCGTTGCAAAAATTCTCAGTTTTTCAAAAAGTAATTTTTTTCCACATTTGCAAATTTCCCGGATGTTATTACAGTAGGGGTGGAATGTTTCAAGCCAAATATGGCTTTACATAACTTGAATCTGTATTTATTTCTAAAATGCCAACTCGGAGCAGGTATGGTACCTGATAACTCAGAGACACTCAACTTCTTATTCAGTTCCTTTATTATCCGTTTTTTCCCACCATACTACTGAAAACTTAATATAAGCCACAAAAGTATGCATTTTTCTGGACGCGCAATTCAGTACTAAATTATGAAAATGAAGAAGCTAAAATCTAAGGTATAAGCTCCGATCTTTTGAAAAACCACAATCTTGAAAAAAAAAAAAAACTAACTTTTCCTTCTTCAAAGCTCACGGCTTGATTGGTTTGCCTACCAGATCGTAAAATACTGCTAGAAGCGAGGGAGGAAGCGCATGCGCTTCTGAGTGAGTGATCGAGTTCTGGAGCTACAGAGGCGAGAAAGCTCCGGAATCAAACTTCCACTTTCTGTGAAACGGTTAACTTAAAAAAGGTTGGTCTTCCTTCCTCAAAACTTTTTATAAAATTCGCCTATTAGGTCTTGAAATGTTTGCTATCAAGAACAAGATCGTCCCGGCAGCAGTTGTAAGGATCGCATGTTAATGATGTTACTGGGATTCTCTTATATGCTGGGTCACAGAAATACTGGGCTCTTCGATCCTGGGCTCCATGCCTTCAACCAGTACTTAAATTCGCCCATTAATATGTTTTATTTTAAACCACCATCCAATACAGTACTGGTCAAAACAACAGGAGAAATTGCCAATTGCGTGGTTGGAAAAGCAGACTGTAGCTTACAGCTGATCCAGACATTCTAGGTCTCAGACTCTAAAATTCTATCAGACCTGAGAGACGAGTCTAAAAGGTACTGAAATCAATGTGAGGTATTGCAGTAATTTCGAAATTTATAATTCTTTAAGAAATGGTTTTAGAATAACACGGCTCGCTTGCTGCTTCTCTGTGTTGTTTGCATAACTAATGCTCGTCGCACTACTGGGAACTAGAAATTTTGTGGATTGATGTGCGCATTGATCAAAAACAAACATGCTTTCAGACAACGGGCTTATTAATTGGTTGCTTGTTGTGTTAAGCTGGCACATGCAAATCAATTATTTGGAAGCTCATTAATTCGCCTCAAAACCAAAATTCTTTGTTCAGAAACGAACAAGCTTTCAGCACGGTGTTGTGGACATTGTGGACCCTGGCAGTAGAACTGAAAACAACTCAGGGAATTGGAATTTTTCGCTCAGTTCATGAGCATAACTCAGTAGTGTCTCTGGCTACAAACTGATAACTCAGGCATTTTTTGCATGTTACGATTATCAAAAATACTAAGATTTGGCCCTGCAATTAGTGTGAGGAGTTCGTGTAAGTGAAAAAAACTGGGATATTTCAACACCCCGGCCGTAGGTATTGCTAGACTTTACGATCCTCAGTTGCATACCCTCGTTTAATACCCATCATCTATTCTTTGTATGTGCAGTACTATTTGGATCTTGCCCAAACGGCTGTTCAATTTTGTCTTGATTTGTTAACGTACGCTTCAAAATTAGTACTGTGTTTTTGATTGATTCGAAGTGTTTAATAATTACTAGTCAAATCGTCTAAGTAAAATGTGATAATTTAAAAAAATATTAAGTAATAGAAATGGCTTTGGCGAAGCTAAGCACAGAAATTTAAGGGTCTAAGGGTATGCCGAACTTTTGCACCTTTTTAAAAATTTTGTCGAGT